ATGCACGTATAAATATAAATATATATATATATATGTTTATTTATTTATATTTATATCTAGATTTATACTTATATTTACATTTATATTCCAACTATGGAACTAAGTCCCATAACGACGGTCTTTTGGGACCTACTTCCATAATGGTAGTATATATGGCATATGGACTCATATATGGACCGAAGGGTGACCGAATCTCAGGCGCTACTTGCTGAGGTGCCTTCTAAGGCTTTCTATTCGTGATCTTAAGAGAATTCCTTTGGCCTCCAAATCCACACCCCGCAGCTCATTAACCTCAAGCCGCAAATCCCGAACACACCTGAAACCCAAGGGTTTAGGGTTTAGGATCGGGCTCTGGAGCAAAACGCAAAACGAAAAGAGCCGCATTCCATGTCTTTTTGATTTGCAGCTACTTCACGCCAGGTGACACCCAGCACACCAAAGACCAGAGCTTTCATCGTCTGAGGTGCTACAGCCAACCGTAGACCGCCACGTTATGGGTTTAGGGCTTAAAGGGATTAAGGCCCCACGCCCGCACCCCCAAACCCTAAACTCCGAACCAGAGTCCTGTTCACATCCATCACAGAGCTTCTCCTGAACCCTGGGAGCCTAGAATAAGCTAACCGAAGTCCTATAGTCCGCTGAGAGTAACCCCCCAAAGAACATGTATATTTCATTATAGAAATCCGCATGCACAGAACAAAGTTCAGGGCCTTTTGCTATCTTACGCCATGTAGAGCCTATTCCCTAACCCCATGGGACACTCAATCTTGCAGTAACCGAAAGACCACCACCTACCTCTATACGCTTGACCTGAGGACCTAGAGAGATCCTACCAGCACCCCATAAAACCCACAGACAACCCTCAGTATCCGTGAACCAGTCTCGGTTCAGGTAGTCTTGCAAATCCTGTTCTGGCTTCCATTTCAAGCCTTAGCTCAATAAGCCTGCTGCGGTTCCCAGAGGGTCCATATATACTACCATTATGGAATTGGGTCCCAAAAGACCATTCATATTAGGGTTTTGGGGACCTACTTCCATAATGGTAGTATATATGGACCCTTAGGGGTTGAACCCACAGCTCGACCCTGCACCTTGAAACAGCTCAACCCAGAACCACAAAGCAAAAGACCTAACATGAGCCCATGTGATAATCAACACCTAAAAACCGCAGCTGTCTAGACTCGGCTGGACTAAACCCTGAACCCTAAACCCTAAACCCTGAACCCTAAACCCTGAACCCTAAAGCCTAAACCCTGAACCCATAACCCTGAACCCTAAAGCCTAAACCCTGAACCCTAAACACTAAACCCTGAACCCTAAACCCTGAACCCTAAACCCTAAACCCTGAACCCTAAACCCTGAGCCCTAAAGCCTAAACCCTGAAGGAACGCTAAACCCTGCATCGGGCTCCGGAGATCTGGAGGGTCCAAAGTGCGAAGGGAATGAATGCACAGAATCACTAAGGCCTAGGGTTCGTTAAACGGAACTATCTAAGGGAGAGTAATAAGGGATCTATACGGGCACATGCACGGGATCACTACGGTTCCTTTAAAGGAACTATACTATAAGGGTTTAGGGTAGGTTTATATAGGGTTTATCTGCAAGGTAGCCCCTGAGCTCAAACTCAAAGCCCGCACAACCCGAAAACAGGTAAAAGCTTTGGGTTTAGAGGCTGGGGTTTAGGCTAAACCGTAAGACCACGACCCGTGAAGAGCCAAATAACCCCAAATCCAACCCCGCAAACCTTAACTTTCCAAAGGGTCCAGATATACTGCTATTACGGAATTAAGTCCCCAAAAACCAGTGAGGCTGGTCTTTTGTGTCCTAGTCCCATAATTTTAGTCTATATGGAGCCTCTAGGCTTCCAACACCCTCAAGTAGCTCAAGTACTTCCCCGAATCATCATGGACATACCTAATATAGACATCTTGCGTTCTACCATCGCGGAATAAAGGACCCTTCCTTCACCCTAAACCCTAAAATTCCTAGGCCCGAAACCTTAACCCTTTGAGCCCTACACCCTAAACCTAAACCTCAACCCTTTGAACTCTAAACCCTAAACCTCAACCCTTTGAACTCTAAACCCAAAACCCCAACCCTTTGAACTCTAAACCCTAAACCTCAACCCTTTGAACTCTAAGCCCTAAACCTCAACCCTTTGAGCTCTAAACCATAAACCTAAATTGTAAGACGAACCCTCAAGTTACAGCATCGACTCTCAGGCACGTAGCTGCGGAGCTGTGGCGGCCTCCCCCTGTCATGCGGCAGAAACGCGAAGCCAGAGTACCCGGACCTTCCGATATCCCTTAACTGAGGAATATGCCTTAAACTATAACAAGGCCCAAAAGATGATGTAAGGCATATATTCCTTGATAAGGGGATTTTGGAAGGTCTGGGTATAAGTAAACACGGTTTAGAATCTTGGTTTCGTGCTAAGGGTTGTGTACTGTGCGTGCGAGAGAGCTTTAAGTGGTGCCGAACCCCTGAACCCAAAACCCTGAACCCTGTTTGAGGGTTATGAAGTCTTGTAGAAGGTTTGAGGGCTCCAGGTTCGGGTTGCAGGCTTAGGCGGTCCCCCTAAACCCAAAGGCCCTAAAGGGTTTTCAGCAAGATTTAGGGTTTATAAAATTTAGAGCCAGATCTTGCAGATAGCGGCCGTGACGGACTCTCAGCCGCCTCCGAGGGGGCGCCGACCTCGGCCGCCCTGTCACAAAGGTAGGCGTCGTCGGTGCGCAGAGCCTTCACCTGCTTCTGGGTCTCGAGGAACTCGCGGCTTAGGCCAGGGCTGGCGCCGGCGCCAACATTCGAGGAGCCGACTGGGTGTACCCAGAGAACCCAATACACCTTAATTAAGGAATATACCTTAATTTATAGGGGCCTTAATATTATGGTTTAAGGTATATTCCTTAATTAAGGGGTATTGGGTTCTCTGGGTAGCTCGATGGCCCGGACCAGCGCCCCAGCTGGATGACCGCGATGGGTAACACCGCAAACTCTGGAGTTTGGGCTTCTTCGGCATCTTGGGCTTCCTTATCCTAGAGGGCCCATATATACACGATCATGATGGAACTAGGTCCCAGAAGACCATCCTTGTCATGGTTTTGGGGACCTATACTTCGATGTGGACCCTCTGGGAAATGCTATTGCGACTAGTCAAGCTCTTACCACGATTAGTGTTACAAGTCCTATCACCACTTGGGTAGTTGTCAAACCCTTTTGGGGTACCCTAAATAATTAGGTGCCGTATTATAATAAGGACCCCAGAAAGGGACCATAATTTTGACAGCCACCCACTTGTAGCTGAAGCTCCCTGGCTTTATGGTCAGCGTCGAGTGCAAGGTTCAGGGCACAATCAGCCGTGGGCTCCATGCAACATGCCGAACCCTTAATTCCTAAACCTCTAAACCCTAAACCTTAAGTCCTGACTGCAGTGCTTGAGGGTTTGGGGTTCTAGGGTCTCTGATTGTTTTGCTTGGGGTGTTGGGTTGCTCGACGTCCGGATGGAGTACTAGGCTCGCCGGTTTAGGGCTTAGGGGTTTGGGGCAATCTAGTCGTATCTTGACCTACTGCTCAGTTTTGGCTTTAACAAGACCCTAAACCCTAAACCCTAAACCCTAAACCCTAAACCTTACCCCAAAAAAGAAACATAAAAAGAGGGCCCTGGGCTGGGGTTTCGCCGAACTGACATGAACTACCCATCCTGCCTGAGCTGCTTTGTGCTCCTGCGAGGACAGAAAGCAGACTTTAGAGCTCCAAACCCTTCACGGTTTAGGGTTTAGGGTTTGGGTTTAGGGTTTAGGGTTTAGGGTTTAGGGTTTAGGGGTAAGCCGTCCGGAAGCTTCGAAGACTGGGCCCTGTGCTCCGAACCCTTCTAGCCCTAAACACGAGCACCCAAACCCCCGAAAGGAGCCTTAAACCCGACAGGGTCCGGGGTTTAAGGGTTAGGGTTTAGGGCTCAGGGTATTTCCTGGGTTACAGGGGGTCCTTCTCGGGACTTAGGGTTTTGCACAGGATGACCCCAAAGAGTGGAGCACACCAAAAGAAAATCAGAGTCTGGTTTCTGGTGGTGGAAGGAGAGAATAAGACTTTAAGAGGAGGGCTGAAATGGACAAAAACAGCTATAAATGGGCAAGAGCAATTGCGGACGTTAATTTCGCCCCTTCCAGCAGGAGACAAACAAGGAGTAGGACAAGCTGTCCTGCCTTCGGCCCTGTAGAAAAACTAAACAAGTCTGCACGCCTAGATGAAGCTCACAATTTGCATGCCGAGATTAGGGTTTAGCTAAGTTCAGAAGTTCTGTGTGATGGCGATCTCCCCTCTTGCCACGAAGAAGTGCAGGGCATGCTGCATAGGCTTTAGGGTTGAGTGTTGCCTGGGTGTAGTTGGGTGGTTTGGTAGACTTCCCTATCATCTGCCCGGGGCATGAATTCTGCAGGTGCTCCAGAAGCCCTGTTCCCACCCTCCGGTCCTCATAAGTCAGCAAATTGAAGCTGGGGTCCTCTGCAGGCCAATAAGGGCTTCGGCTTCGAATTCTTCAGCCGTTTTTCGTTTGAAAACCCCGGCAACAGACAAGAAGACTCGAAAAGCGAGGGACGACACTGATAGGATCAAGCGGCCTATCGTCAGTGCCTTGGCTAAACCCTAAACCCTAAAACCTCTTGTTCAAAGTCCCCTGACCCTTCAAGTACATGCAACACCCGAACCCTTCAAGCCAACTAGGGTTTCATTAGGGTTCAGGGGTTTAGGTTTTGGGGTTTAGTTTAGGGTTTAGGGGGCTTCGGGTTTAGCGCTGTTTTGGTGCAGGGTTTAGAAATCAGAACCGGGACCTTACCCAAAGCATCCGCGTCCTCGCTCAGACCTTTAGCTAAACCCTACACTCTACATTACACTCTACATTACACTCTACATTACACTCCAAGCTTGAAGCCACAAATTTCAAGACCTGGCTTTAGATTGGGGGACTTTGGCCCTCCTAAAGCTTCAAAAGGCCTAAACCCCAAACCCTAAACCGACATTTTACTGCCCTACCTGTAGCCGAAAAGACTTTTTGTTTTGGGGTTCGGGTTCCTTATTATGGTTTCTTTATATAAGTCCTTAACAAGAATTATAGGTCTTTCCGGCTACAAGGAGACCCTAAACCCTAGACCTTCAACCTAAGCTTCAACTTAGACGCGGTGTTTCCTGAACTCGAACTGAAGGTCGGGCTTAAGGGTCTTTTAAGAGTCTATGAGTTTAGGGTTTAGGGTCTATGAGTTTAGGGTTTGGTTGGGAGCTATTATCCAACTCCACCAAACCTGCATTGCCCTTGTGGGCTACACTGCTCACGAACTCGCCCCCACGTGCCAAGAACCGCTTGAGCAGTTCCTGTCGCAAGAGTTTCGCGTTTCGATTCGAGCTTCCACTGGTCCAGGGAATTGGGCAAAACCGGCCACTCGACACCTTCTCTGAGCGACCGCCGGGCGCAGTGCGAAGCCGCACGAGGCCTTGCCCAAAGCTCCTCTCCAATCGTTGAGCCACCAGGTGAAGCAGCCGCTTCTTTGCATGCGAGCGATGGCAATCTGCTCCAAGTTTTCAAGGAAACTTAAGGAACAGGTTTTTCAGGCCACTACCCTAAGACTCCTAGTATACAAATGGTACCTACTTTGTGGTCTACAATCCATAAATACCTGTAAGCCCCCAACCCTGCAATTTCGGGGTAGGATCCATCTGTCATGGGGTATAACCCACATAAAGCATCATAAAGCTGCAGGTGTTGCTGTCCCCAGTCGTACCTACTTGAGCTATAGTCTCCATTGTAGTTCCTTTCGGGCTACTTTATAGCATCCTGAATGGAAATCTTAGGACTGGCTTAACATCTTTGTGCAGTGCCAAGTTCTTCGGACACGAACTACCAGAGTCGTTTCATAGTTTAAGGATGTAGGGGTTTAGGGCCTAAGGTTTATGTTTACATTTTCCTTCTATATTGGGCCTCAAATACTTCGGGTTTCAAGACTTGGTCTTTCTACGGAAATCTACATATCTACTCGTGTTCCTACAAGGGCTGGAGGGGTCAAGGGTGAGCGTTTAGGGTTGAGGGTTGAAAATTTAAGAACGTAGGACGTAGGTTCGATGGTCGAGGGTTGAGGGCTGTATTGGAGAAGGTACGGTCAAGCGCTATATGAGCGATGTCGGTTGTGTCAATGGAGCGGAGATACCTTCGATAAGTGCGACTAGCCCGAGTACGATAAAACCTAAGCTGCGGGAACCCAAACCCCACCAACCCATGCCGTAAAACCCTAGACCCGACACCACAACTCCTGAACTCCTAAACCTATAAACCCCAAATGCCGAAAACCCACCTCGATCATCTTGTAGATCTTCTGGATGCTCAGGGCATCTGCTTCATTCCTGCTGTTGCGGCTTTGGGTGTCCGGTCTAGGCTTTGCGGGGTTCAGAGTTCACGCTCATTGCTACCGCCATGCTGAACTCCAACCTCGTGGCTCGGGTTGCTTCTTGCTGCACATCTCCGATTCGAGGTGCCGACGCATGACAACCACGGAGGCTACACAAAAAACTCCTAATCCAAAAGACAATATCAACAATACACCGTGTCGTATAAAACCCGAAGCGCTGCATGGCACGCCCCTGCAATTCCTCTGGCACTTTTGCAACAAGCTGCAAGGCTCATGAAGGTCGGACCTTATACTGTCTCGGCATCTTTGGGTGCATGCCGTCGCATGCTGCATGATGTCTCCGGTTCAACACCAGGTTGGGCCAAGCTTGCAAGTTTCAGGAGTTTGTGATCTCGCCGTAGTGCCATTCAAAGGCACGAAACATCCCCAGTCGATTTTCCAACTCTCTGGGATTCAGGTTAATGAGAGCTGCAAGATCGATATGCCGTGCACTTGAATCATCTTGTGGTCTTAAGAATTAGACTAGGGCTCTGGGGGGAATACTTGGAGTGTACGACGGTATAAATGTACCACTATCTTAGCAGTGCACTTGCGATTGTCTGCAATTCCACCGGCCCTCAACTCTATGGACTGGAGTGGATTTGAAACAAAAATTGGGATCTGGGGTTTATGGTTTGGGGTTTAGGGCAGAGTATTCTGTAAAGAATCGGTTGGTTGTATCTTCCATAACTCAGCAATGCTGCACACTAAAACCGGCCACCGTAGAACAGTTGGCATCAGAGTCGCCATCTATCTCCTAAGCCCCAGTCCAAACTATAAAACACAACGTGGGTCTTGCGTTTCAGGAATCCAGCAGTTTCACTTCCGTTGATCGCAGCGGTGCTTGCTGTTTCTCGTACATCCACAGGACGCACTTCTGCCCTTCAACTGCGGTCGAAAGTCGAAAAAGCTCTCCTTGCAGCTGATGCGGGAAGCTTACAAGACCTACAAATTTACTCACAAATCAAACCCAGGAATCCAGTTGGGAGACATCTTCACACTACACTGGGCAAGTGTAGACTGCTGCAGCACCTGCTGCCACGCCTGCTGCCGCCTCAACTACGACGGGGATGATTGCTTCTACTGCTGTTGTTGCTGCTCCCTACTGCGACTACGACTACTACCGTCACCACCGCAACTACGGACATAATTGTTTCTAGTAATCATGTAACCGCACAGCCCTAATCCGGAGAGACCTATTTCCCCTATGTCAAGAACATTCCTTGGATTTGAGACGGGGACCCACAAGCCCTAAACCCTTTGATTAATCTCTGACCCCCTCAGCTCCTGATGCACTTCAGGCAAAGTATGTGGAATCTCAGCACAAACCATCCTTGATCCGTCCCAACTTCTGGGGCCTCACCTTAAATCCTAAACGACCCCCTTGCACTGATCTGCCACTGCCTGGGGCTGAAGCCCCACAGAAGCATCTGACCAAACCACCAACAAATCTTCATGCGGAACTATATAAAGGCCCAAATGATCACCAATACTATCCTGGTGGTTCTTGTTATAAGGCCCCTAAAGCCCTAAAGTACCAATTTCTTGTTATAAGGCCCCTAAAGTACAAATTTCTTGTTATAAGGCCGCTACAATACCAATTTCTTGCTATAAAGCACCTCAAGTACAAATTTCTTGTTATAAGCCCCCTAAAAAACAAATTTCTTGTTATAAGGCCCCTAAAGTACCAATTTCTTGCTATAAGGCCCCTAGGATACAAATTTCTTGCCATGTTATAAGGCCCCTACAATACCAATTTCCTTTTTTATAAGGCCCCTAAAGTACCAATTTCTTGTTATAAGGCCCCTAAAGTACCAATTTCTTGTTATAAGCCCCCTAAAGTACAAATTTCTTGTTATAAGGCCCCTAAAGTACCAATTTCTTGTTATAAGGCCCCTAAAGTACCAATTTCTTGTTATAAGGCCGCTACAGTACCAATTTCTTGTGATAAGGCCCCTAAAGTACCAACTTCTTGCTATAAGGCCCCTAAAGTACCAATTTCTCGCCATGTTATAAGGCACCTAAAACTCAAATTTCTTGTTATAAGGCCCCTAAAGTATCAATTCCTTGTTATAAGGCCCCTAGAATACAAATTTCTTGTTATAAGGCCCCTACAATACCAATTTCCTTTTTTATAAGGCCCCTAAAGTACCAATTTCTTGCTATAAGACCCCTAAAGTACCAATTTCTTGTTATAAGGCCCCTAAAATACAAATTTCTTGGTGTAAGGCCCCTAAAGTACCAATTTCTT